ATGGATGGGGATTGATTGATCCAGGCAGATGATGTTTGCGTTGCCATTGATGAGACTGTAGCTTGTGTCGTATTGTGTTCTGTTGTCCAAGGTATTGTCCAATAGATGTGAACCTTTAGATGACGTTTCCAACTCTTTTCCTCAGAGCGTTATCTTTCAAACGCCGACATTAATCAAGTCACACAACTTTGATGAATATTAGACCGTCGGTTACTCGCAGATGACGATTCAAACAAAAAGAAAAGAGAAACAATTGTCCAAGGATAACAATTGCTGATCCGACCGACGGGCGTAGGTATTGGATCCCCTGCAACCCCTCGTGACCTTGGCAGGATAAGCTTTGATTCGTCTGTATCCCACGCGATACTGCACGCCAAGAGGAGTACTTGGGAGTACATTGTCTGTCTTTGTTGGCGTGGGAGAACAACGTGTCTCGAGCAAGTCATTTTGCTGTGATGGCGCAAAAGAGGCCGTTCTGGTTCCACCAAACCTAATCTCGACGATCCTCTTGGATAAGATAGATGAAGCTTGTTGGACAATGATTCAATTGACATTGCAGTGGATGGCTGTCTGAAGCGTTTGGTCTCGCTGTAGCAAATTCTGGCTAAATGTCGCTAATAGTTTTCAACTCAATGGCTGTAAACGATAGAACCGTCTCTCTAATGCTCTGACAATGGATCTTAGTACCTGGTAGTACCATGCGCCGACGGAGCACAGTGTGTATGGGACTGCGGGGCAGCACATGCATGGGTGCGTGAGTGTGTAAGTGGGAAGCTCACACTCCCGTGTTATTCACTTCCTTTCCTTTCCTGTATTGGACTGGATTGGATCGGATCTGAGTCTCTAGGGATGGGAGAGTGAGGTTTGGGATAGGTACCCATCTCCCATTTAGACGAAGCTCCTACAGAGCCTCGCTTCTAACTTCGTTGTTGCCGGCGTCTGCCCGGTCCTTCCTGGTTCCCTCCTACCTCGGATTGTAGATAAAAGCTGCCACCCTCATAACCTCCCTCTACGACTTTTCCTTTCTTCTCTACCCAGATATCGTGCTTCACGCGATCTCTTCCCTACATATTACTTCAACTCTCTTTTCAACCTTAACCACCGGCTGATCTTCTGCGGCCAGCCTCAGCAACAAAAAAACATCTTAGCTCAGCTCCCCTCCAGCTTTCGCTTATACCAACACCCATTCGATGGGAGAAACCGAATCCAAATCCGCGAATGGTGCAATTCACGCCACTTCCACGTCGGACTCGTCGACCGTCGCAGCCGGTCAGGACGACAAACCCCCTATAGCGGAACCCCCAGACCTACTAGCCATAGAGAAGCCGATTCTTCCCCATACGCTCTCTGCTCATCGCGTCGCCAGAGACCTCAAGTCCGACGTCGACGATGGTTTGAGTAGCGAAGAGGCTGCTGCCCGCCTTGCGCGGGACGGCCCTAATTCTATCAAAGGCGCCAAGGGCATCTCTCTGTACGAGATCTTCATACAGCAGATTGCCAATGCCCTGACTGTCGTCCTCATCGCCGTGACCGCTCTGTCCTTTGCTATCTCGGACTATATTGAGGGTGGCGTCGTCGCCGCCGTCATTGTCCTCAACATCGTTGTCGGGTATGTCTTTGCTGCGTCACTCACTCGCCCAGCCAATCTGCTGGTCAAGTCTTGTCGCTTGCTGCTGCTACAACTCCCCACATCGTTGTTGCACTTTGCTACACCTTCTTCTCGTTCCTGTTCCTGTTCCTTGTTCCTGCTGCCATACGGTGAAGCCTGTGATTTTGCCATGCGTAAGGCCAGAAGCCCCAAGCACTGAGGCCGAATCCTGTGCCATACCCTGAAGCTGACAGTCCGAATCACATCTAGCCGTACTCATTAATCTCCCACTCCATGCTAACATTATACCCGCTAGATTGATCCAGGACTACCGCGCTGAGCAGACCATCCAGTCGCTCTATGCTCTGTCCACTCCTAAATGCAAGGTCATCCGAGATGGTCACAGTGAAACTGTCAAGGCCGAAACACTCGTCAAGGGAGACTTAGTCTCTCTCGCAACTGGCGATGTTGTTCCTGCCGATCTGCGCCTGGTTCAAGGTATCAACGTCTCTACCGATGAGGCACTTCTCACTGGTGAATCTATCGCCATCAGCAAGAAGCCAGATGCCGTATTCACCGATCCCGATATGCCCATGGGTGATCGTGTTAACCTGGCCTACTCCGGAAGCTCTGTCACTAGAGGTCGAGCCACCGGTATTGTCATTGCTACTGGTATGGAAACAGAGGTCGGCCAAATCGCCGAACTCCTGCGCAAGACTAAGAACGACGACACCGAAAGGACTCCCGTCGGTCGCGCAGTTTGGAAGTTCTACCAGTTCTGTCGCAGAATCCTTGGCCTCGAGGGAACCCCTCTCCAGGTCACCCTCAGCAAGTTCGCCCTGTTGCTTTTCGCCTTCGCCATTGTCCTCGTCATCATCGTCTTTTCCGCCAGTCTGTGGAAGATCACCGATGAGGTCCTTCTGTACGGTATCTGCGTCGGTGTGGCTGTTATCCCCGAGTCTCTCCTCGCAGTTTTGACTGTTACAATGGCCGTTGCCACCAAGGCAATGGTTCGCGGCAATGTCATTGTTCGTCAGATGCCTTCCCTTGAAGCCGTTGGCGGTGTTACCAACATCTGCTCGGACAAGACTGGTACCCTGACTCAAGGACGAATGATTACCCGAAAGGTTTGGCTCCGTGGCGATCTCGCCGGAACTGTTGAGGGCACCGCCAACCCCTACGACCCTTACAGCGGAACTGTCAAGTGGTCTGCTGACTTGGCCGGAAGCTGCCTGAACACTTTCCTCAAGGTTCTTACTCTTTGCAACAACGCCACAGTCAGTGACGGCAAGAAAGAGCCCGAGACGGACTCTAGCAGCATCATCACTTCCGAAGATGCTGAGTGGAAGGCCATTGGTGAGCCTACCGAGATTGCTCTCAAGGTCTTCGCTATGAGATTCGGCCGTAGTGTTTCCGGGGGTGACACCCTGGTGGCCGAACATCCTTTCGATTCTTCCTGCAAACTCATGAGCGTTGTGTACGGTAATGAGCTTGAACAGACTCGAAACGTCTATACCAAGGGCGCGGTTGAGGTCCTCCTCACCAAGCTCACTGAGACTGAAGAGTTCAAGAAGGAAATCCTCGCTAAAGCTGAAGAACTCGCCGGCCAAGGTTTGCGAGTGCTCTGTATCGCAACCAAGCCTATGAATGGCGACGCTCAGGATTGTCATGATCGTTCCAAGGTTGAGACTGAGCTTCAGTTTGTCGGTTTGGCTGGTCTCTATGATCCTCCTCGCCCTGAAACTGCCGGCGCTGTTGAACAATGCCGCGCCGCCGGTGTTACTGTCCACATGGTTACTGGCGACCACATCAAGACCGCCACAGCCATTGCTTACGAAGTCGGTATTCTCAACAAGAACATTCCCCTCAAGTCCAACACCGTCATGGCAGCTGCCGACTTTGGTGCCCTTAGCGATGCTGAGATTGACTGCCTGGACGAACTCCCTGTGGTTCTCGCTCGCTGTAGCCCTCTGACCAAGGTTCGCATGATCGAAGCCCTCCATCGCCGCAAAGCATTCTGCATCATGACTGGTGATGGTGTCAACGACTCGCCTGCTCTTAAACAAGCTGATGTCGGTATTGCCATGGGAGACCGTGGTAGCGACGTCGCCAAAGAGGCGGCTGACATGGTTCTCACTGACGACAACTTTGCCTCGATCGTGACTGGTATCCAGGAAGGTCGACGACTTGCTGACAATATCCAGAAGGTATGTTGTTACTCTTTTTGTATCACCGTGTTGATACGATTGCTGACTGGTGCAGTTCCTTCTTCATCTCCTGACATCCAATTTGGCTCAAGTCATTCTCCTTCTTATTGGTCTTGCCTTCAAGGATGTGAATGGTAACGCCGTCTTCCCTCTGTCCCCCTTGGAAATCCTTTGGGCCAATCTGGTTACCTCATCGCCTCTAGCTCTGGGTCTTGGTCTCGAGGAAGCGTCTCCCGATATCCTTCGACGACCTCCCCGCAGCTTGCGCAGCGGCGTGTTTACCCTTGACCTCGTTCGCGATCAGCTTTTCTATGGACTCTCCTCAGGTTCCCTCTGCCTGTGCGCTTTCATGCTCGTCAACTACGCTTCATCTGGCCAGGGTTACTATCGAATGGCGGAAGGCTGCAATGAGAGCGGACATGATGAGTGTGATCTTGTTTACCGCGCTCGTGCCACGACCTTCTCCACCTTGGCTTTCCTGTTGCTCGTCACAGCGTGGGAGGTGAAGCACTTCCACCGCAGTCTCTTCAACATGGACGAGCGTGCCAGCGGCCCCTTCTCTGTGTTCAAGACCATCTACCACAACAAGTTCCTCTTCTGGTCCGTTGTTGCCGGCTTTGTCATGATCTTCCCTATCGTGTATATCCCGTACCTCAACACAGAGGTGTTCAAGCACAAGGGTCTTTCATGGGAGTGGGGTGTCGTCGCTGGCTGTGTTGTCGTATATATCGTCCTCATTGAGATGTGGAAGGCTTGCAAGAGACGGCTCAAGCTGGGTCTTGACTCGCACCCGGTCACCCAGGGCCAGGCTCAAGTCTAAGCTTAAGAGGTGAACCATTTAAATCGGTGAGACAAAAGGTGTGATGGTAGTCGTAGTGCGGGAAGTTGATTGTGAGGTATGGGGGACAGGTTTTGGGATATTTGCACGGTTATCAGATTGTTTTGGTATTATACTTATTGCTATTATCCTCTAGTCAATACATTTCCTGTCGAAGAATTCCCTATGCAACGCTATGTGATTAAAACTGTCTATTTGATTGATTGAAAACTTTTCGTGCGAGTCCCGGAATCTCTGCACAGCCGGCGATGCTGTGAGGCCAAGGGTACTTCAGTCGTGATGTGATGGTGCCGGCACCGGAATGGTCGGTCTGTTCTAGCTGGACACGACCCCGTGGGTGAAGTATTCATAAATGTCATGTCTGCATTTACTCATCCTTGGACTTCTTGATGGGGTTTCCATCCTTGTCCACCAAGCCCTTCTCGCGCATGACCCGGACGGCCTCGTGAATGGGGTCCAGCTCGGGCATGGGGGCACGGTGAGAGTCCCAGTAGTTGTCGGCCCATGTGAAGTATTGGCCGTAGTTGCAGGTGAAGAACATGTGGTGGAGAGTGTGGTGGGCAGGGCTGTTGATGAACTTTTCAAGCCAATGGCCGGTAATCATGTCGCCGTCGTGGATAAGGATGGTCCAGATCTGAACGCAGACGAAGAGGAACATGTAGAGGTGCTTCTGCATGGGGCAGATGTAGACAAAGACACTGTTGACGTTAGTGAGAGGCCAATTGCGGCGCAAAAGGTGTTACTTACTGATAAGGGAGGGACTGGAGGTATCCATCGACAGGGTGGAAAGCAATGGCAGCCCAGGGGGTGGGAACTGAAGCTCTTGTTAGCGGGGGTTTGATGCAAGAGGGAGTTTGATTTTGACTTACTGATCCACTTGTGGTGAGGCTTGTGGACATACTTGTAGATACTGGGATGGTGCTCAAGGCGATGAATCCAGTAAATGCCAAGATCGTTAAAGACCATGTAGAGGGCGGTAGACACGGCCAGCCACCACCAGCCATACTCGTCAATTCGGGTGTACAGCAGACTGTGGCCGCGGACTTCTCCAAGGAAGAAGGGGAGCGTGAGAATGTCGATAATGGGGATGGCGAAGAAACTAGACTGGATCTCGAGCTTGATCTGGTTCTTGAGGAATCGAGGGTGATGTTCGAGGCGGCGATCAAAAACGAAGTAGTATGAAAGGGCGGCGGAGATAACATAGATGAAGGCGGCGCCGAAGCCAGCGATCATGAGAATCGAAGCGCTCTGGCGGTAGATGTCGTCGCGCGGTAGTGACGAGCCGAAGTTGAGCGAGTACTCATGGTCAAAGTTGCTGGAAGACGAGGCGCCGTAGTTTGTTGAGTTTCCGTATGCCTTTGTTGATTGCTGGAGCTGCTGTTGGGGGAAAAGGTATGCGTATCCGTAATCGAAGACATACGGGTCGAGGAGCTCGAGTATAGCGTCCATGGTGAAGCAGGGCGAATTGGCGAGGGGAATCTACAGCTACAGCTACACCAGGAGGGAATGACAAGAAGAAAAAGGGACGAAGATGCAGGAGAGAGAAAGATTGATAAGAGCAACCAACGGGACTGAGATCATGCGATTTTCACATCATTATTAAGATTGAGCTCCGCTGAAATCTTGCCGCCAGCGGTGTCTTTCCTCACTCTCTCCTTCGGGGGCCGGGGGTGTTTGGATGCCGCAAAAGACCCAATTCCAAGGGTTAATTTCAATGAATGGCGTAGTATCCATCCGTACCGTACCCACAGGGGTCCCACGCTGTATGGCTCGCTAGGCCGTTGTACCTGGATTTGCACATCTTGATCTTATCGTGATTGGAGGCGGGGACACACCCAATTCCCGAATTTTCTCTTTTTTTTTTAATTTTTCTGGAAGAGAAAACGAATACGAACTAGAGAACGGTACGCTATGCACGGAACCCACACTAAACGACAGAGATTGGCGAATCATGCAACACGGATGCTGGGCTGCCGGATCATGCTATCTTCCACCTCGCGTATCCCTCTGTACTTGTCCTCAATGTCGTTAACCCCGTCTGTATATCCGATCGCCCTTTCGTGCTCCGCGATCTTATGCGCCCATTCCCCGTTGTCGACCGTCCATGTGCCCAGCGACTCGAAGCCGTGTTTCCTGTAGAGCCCGTGGCCCTCGACGGAGGATACGATCAGCGTCGGGGCATCAGCGGCGTCGGCTTTTTCGGTGACGGATTGGAGCAATTGACCGCCGATGCCTTTCCGTTGATGGTCTGGGTGGACCATGAGATGCATCACTTCTACATACGCCGCATTAGACGCAAGCCACTTTTGATATGTACAACACAAAGAATAAGTAAACACTTACCAAAATGATCCTTCCCATCAACGGCTTTTTCTTTCGATGCATCAATCTCCTCGCTCCTCTTGTTGAACCAATCCCACAGTTCCTCCATGTGCTTTTTAACCGTCCATACTGACGCCGGGGGCTTCGCGTTCGAGTTCGGCTTTTTGTCTTTGAATACTTCTTTGTAGCGCACAAACCCGACTGTCTCCCCCGCCTGCTCGGCTACCAAGAAGTGCTGCTGCCCCGGATTCTGCAGGGCGTTTCTTGTCGCGAGGGGGATCAGATCGCGGGGATGGAGCTGGAAGAAGGCGGCGTAGAAGTCGTGGTAGAACTGCAGTGCTTCATAGTGGATGTTGGCGATTGCGTCGCTGTCGTCGATTGTGGCGGGGCGGATTGTTATAGATGCCATTGCCCTTGTGTTTTCTACTAACATGTGGTTTAGATTTCCGAATGAGATATTGTAAAGGTCTTGGCTTAGTTTTTATACGTTCGCTCTAGAGATGCTGACGGATGAGGCGATTGGGAGAGGGGTTTGTATGATTCCGAATGAGGAAGCTGGTGTTTTGGTCCGTCTTGATCACTCCGTGTGAGTCAGCCGGCGACAATCCTCTCATAGCGAATTGAGAAGGATTTGCGATACAGTAGCTAAAATAAATATTACGGTTCATAAAGAGAAGCATTTTACTAAACCGTAAGACTATCCAGACTTATTGATATAAGATCTCTAGAAGACTAATAATCTTATAGTAGCTGTTCGAGGTTAAAAATATCTATCTGAAGCGTTAACTCTCTTATCTATATAATATAAAAGTTAATAACAGTAAAAAAGTAAAATGTAGTTACTTATTGATGTGCAAATAGTATATATAAAATATATATAAAATATCCCCTTGCTTTCAAGAAATTGCTAATAGTGACCATCTTTATTTGCTGCTAATATTATGCTTCTTTAACTCTCTTATTCCGCTCACAAACTATTACTCCTCCACCACCAACTCGCTTCATGGCTACGCCGAGACCATAAGACAAACGGCGCAGGCAGATCGAATTTTGTGTTGACCAAGCGGGAGGAAAAGATGAGAAGGATAAAAAAGGGTACGGATTCGCACCAGAAGAAACGCCTGAGGGTCGTCGTGGGGAGTAAAGAGAGTATGGGACTCAGAGCTGTTTTTGGTGAATGGAGAATCAGACTCTTTCTTTACTTACAGCCGAATTCCTCAAGCATAAGAAAACAACAGGTCTACCGGACTATCCAGACAAACAACTCCCCAGAAAATAGAGTTGATACAATTGTGCTCTGAAATGGCATATGAAACGCAAAGGACATACCAGTTGTTCCATACTCGGCCAAACGATATAGCGCACTCTAAGTATAGAGGGCCCGCGAAATGTATCTTGTACTTATTCTTTCATGGTCCAGTCTCTTAAATATGTGCTTTATAAATGCGTAAATTGATCGGTGCTCTTAAGTGGTGGACGAGCCGCTGGGTTGGGATTGAAGTCGAAGTCGGGATAAATTGGTTCAAGTCGGCAAGTGATGTATTGTACCCCTGCCCTGTACTCGAATGTCTATGTCAAGTTAATTAAGCCGTCGCCGGATTATCTTCAGATAGATCATACCTCAGTCTTCCCTCATGAGGGCTCAGGCGTCGAAGCTTGGCTGAGAGCTGCCCCCTTTCCCTTCAACAGCACCACGTCTACTCACCAGGAGTTCATCATTTCATCTCGGGTCAGTTGACTTTCTTCCGTGTTCAATCATGCCGTCAAGACGCTAGACGACATGCACACGCCAATTGCTCTTGATGGGGACCAGCAAAAGGCATTCGCGCTTGTCCACGGCACCATCGCGGTCAATGTGGCATCTGGATTGTAGTTCAAGGTACCTTAGCTTCAGATTTTAGTATTGATACACCGATTGAGTCAGCGTTCTAACAGATCAGTGACTTCTACGTTTCCTTATATGTTCTAGATTGGTTATGGAAGTCATGGGCTCACTGGATGAAGCTCGGTTACATGAACTCAGTTCTCATGTCACCGTTGGAACGAATAGTTGCTTAATATTCTTAAGGCACTGGATCGACTTCCTATTCCCTTGAATTTATATTCATGTTACGAGCCCTTTCTTGGCATCTGCCATGCCCCTGAATTGACTTTCATTCGGTTTGACAAACCACAATGCGGCTCTTTAGCACAGCAAACCCCTGACAGTACTGGTACGTCAACACACTCGAGCTATCTACTGCAACTGCTGCGATCACAACGTCTCTCAAATACACGATTCGGTTTGAGTCTACGGAGCTAAGTTGTGACATTGACATATCATACTCACGAGCTTGATGTTCGCGTCGGTCGCGGGTTGGCGCATCGCAAAGTACAGAATCATGAGCCATGATGAAATGTCGTTTGATGCTAAAATAAACTCACCAAAAAGTCCCCTAGGGTTATGCTAACTTGCCTAAGTATTCTTGTCACTTAGGATCGAGGTCTAAAGCTTTCTTTGCCCCCCTAACTTGTATATCTATGGTTCGCTCATGAAGTGTTGTTTTCCGTAACTCTTGTACTTTCTTATAACCTTCAAATTCCCTTATCAGGGTTTACAGAAACTTGAGGCGGTAAAGTATTATTATATGTGAGAAGTGTCAAGTCATAACACTAAACGACAAAGAAAGACCGGCCTCAAGTTGCGATTTCAACCCTAAATTACACAAAATTAGGTGAATTTGTGACCTTTTTACATAGCCTGATATCACCATTTTATGATCTCAGATCATCTTGCCTAAGATATTCTCGCTCCCTTGTCCAAGCATTTGTACACCATCTAGCAAACGGGTCGCCCAACGCTCAAGCCCATACGAGTTCTCGACTCGGCGTCGCATCTCCTCTCCTGCAAGCACGAGAACAAAGCTCCTCATCCAAAGCCACCAGACTCCAATCCCTGACACACGGCCCGCCAAGACTAGGGACCAACAACAGAAACAATAGCGGCTGTTCCCCCTCGGTCCCGATAACTCAAACGCCATAGATCACCCACCGCCGTCGGAGATTTAGAAAGCCAACAGATCGGACGTGCCGATTACCCCTTTATTGTGGTTGTCTTGGGGGACCGTTGGTGGAATTTCCGTCGTAGGGTTGCTGAACTATGACGATTAGAGGCTGTTTTTGGAGCGTCACTTGGACACGAGTGCGTTCAAGCTACATATCAATGGAGAGTATGATTCGTTTATGTCCGTGAAGTCCATGAGCATATCAAGTTTAGTGGTGGGGGAGCTTGGTACTGAAACAATTCATTGTAGTAATTATAGTCGTAACTTCATTCTCTTGGTCGTTAAGAGTACATACAGGTATCTTCAAACATCCCCTGACACAATACAAAAAGCAAATCTTCATCCAACGCCCGTATATTATACCATCGTTTGATCTTTCCATTCATCACGTATTTAAATTGGCGACACAATCATTGCCACATACTTGACATGTCCTTCAGTATCTTTGAGGGGTGTCCAGTGGCTCATCATCTTGGCTGGCTTCTTCGGCGATGTTTCTCCACTGTCACCACTTAGCGTTCTCGTCATATTGGCACGGCGAGGGATGTGGTTTGCGAGTGCGAGGTCCAACGAAACAGACTTTCCATCACGGACAACAAGATCCCGAACCGTCAATTTGAAGGCCTTGGTAACTGATGGTAGTGTAGATTGCTCAGTAAAAATGTCAAAGATATCTTTGCCGATTATAGTTTCGGCCGACGTGCCCAGATCGAGAGCATCGAGCATCTCTTTGGAGTAGAAGGAGACACATAACTTGGGTGGATACTTCATCTCCTGGTCGAGAGGCATTGCGCCCAAAGATGCTGGGTATGAAGGGACATGCTCGAGAATCATGTATCGGGCGTATGTCGTCATAAGCATTTCAGGTTGGTTAGAGAATCTCCTGATAACGCTTCGTGTGCTATAGGTCTTGTCAAGTATCGTAGGTCCAGCTGATGACCGGGGCCTATCAGAGCTGCGACGTGGACTCAGTGGTGGCGACAGAGGAGGAGGCGGCGGCTTCTTGAACGCTTTGAAGAACCCCGACATCTTTGTTGCCTTGAATTGATTGTTCTTGACACTGAGAACCTCCTCAGCTTCAGGCTCGCCTTGAGATCCGTCACTAGCCCAGCGAGAATTGCTCCGTTCTGGCGCCTTATCTTCCTCCGCAGCACCGTACGACAAAACCTTTAGAACATCATGTGTGTCGTGCAGAGAGGATGATACGTCGATTTGAGCACCCAGAAAGAACTTTGTCTTACCAGCGGTGTCGAGAAGAGGGCATAGGAAAAGAAGATTCCAGAACGGGGTTCCATCTTTCCGAAAGTTGAGAAGCAGTTCAGTACACTCCTCGTTGCGCCAGATTGCGGAGCGCATCTTGGCAATGCCGTCTCGATCAGTCTGTGGTCCCTGAAGGAAGCGGCAATTATGTGTCAAAACCTCACTTCGTGCGTATCCTGTCAGTTCCTCAAACTCATCGGAAGCAAAGATGATAGGATTTCCAGATCGGGACGGATCACTAAGGCAGAATGACCCCTTCAGGCCGGGATAAGGGTTTGGTGGTGAGTCGCCTTCTGCGTCGAGGGAGAGAGCCAAGCTAGTACATTGTGATAGTTGCTGTTTGACGAAATCGGGAAAGATCTCCCTGACAATGCGCTGTTCGATATAGGTTTTAGATTCGAGAAACATGTTTTCCAGGCTGGGAATAAGTGATGTTGTGAGATGTTTGATGTTGGTGTTGAGAGCCTTGGACATAGGGGAGGGCAAATTAATTGGCGATGTTGCGGTGATGGATGTATACGAAGTTGATATTGTCGAGAGTTGAATGACAACCTGCTCCAGGGATTGGATATAGTCGCGAATCTGCTCATGATTAGAATCTGTGAGGCGATATCTTGTCTGATCATCTTACCTTCATGAGGTAATCAACATTCTGACCAAGTCCTCGATTGGCGGCGAATCTCCATAATTGACCACTGGCAGCATGATCGGCCATAACCATATCAAACATCTCCCGCCCGACAAGATCAGGAATAGGCAACTCGCCGGAACCATCCGACTCAGTGAAAGCGATACTAGATCTTTGACTTCTGGACGATGTAACAGAGTCAATGCTCCTCAACCTCTCACCCGACCACTGGCCCACCCCGTTGCTATACATGCCGGCACGCGGTGTGCCATCAGGGTGGTAGTCGGTATACTGTCTCAGAATGTCCTCATTGGTGTGAAGTGAAAGGCCTGAATTGCTGCGCAGGCGGTAGGATGAGAATTTAGCACTCTTGGGGCGGTTTGATCTGCTGCTTTTGGGTGGTGCTTGAAGACCCCGCAGAGATGAGGTGACAGAATCGGAATTGTTGTTGGAGAGTGTCGATGTTGTGGAACGGCGACGCTCAAAATCGGGTAGAGATGGAATAGGAGGAGGTTCGAATGACCGGAGAGCGTTAATTGTAGGCATCTTGTCTTAATTATTATGTCCCTCCACAAAAAGGGGACTGACAAGTCGGGTTGTTCCTTTATGTCTCGGGAGTGGTGGAATGCAATGCGATTGTGCGACACAAGCGCAATAGGTTATTATAACAGTTGCCGATTGATGTTTGTAGCGCGCCAAAAGCAAAAAAAGAAGATAATTAAAATTTGAGTATTTATGCTCTTATTCAGTGAGAGAAAAGGACCAAGAGTTGTTATTGTTGAGAGCGACAGTGTAAAGCTTAGAAGACCATAGTTGGTGGGTGAGGTGTTGGTGGGAGGTTGTAAGTTATCAGATTGGATTGGATGGAAGACGAGAGAAGAAAGTAAAGAAGGAAAGAATGGGACCCGAGCGCAAAGAGAAGTCAGAACAACAAGAAAAGGCAAGAGCAGCCCAGGTAAAGCAGCGACAGGCAGGATAGACTAGGACCCTCGTTCAATCGCGAGTCGCGGAGCAGGAGCAGCCCACGATCGCTTAATACTACGGTTCCAGGCCCAGCAAGCCAGCTCAGGTCGCAATGGAAGAGAAGGCACCCAAGACTGACTCGCTCGCTCTCAGGTCGCTACCTCATGCAATTCAGTGGATCAATCACAGGCTACGAAGGTGAGCTTGCGGGGGCGGGCCAAGTCGGGTTCGAGCAATCCTTGGCCGAAAAGCCACTAAAGAAACCCAGTGGCTTCTGCAATGCTGGGTCCCCTTTTTAGCGCTGCAGAAATGCAGATAGCACATGTTTCCCGGAAGATACGCCCGGCCACTGGAAAAAATACTGCAGAAGGCTAGACGCCAAAACTCGCTGCGGAGGTTCCGGCGTTTTATTATCCCCCCTACGACGAGCTGAAGACTTGCATTAAGTTTTGAGTTTGCAGGGGTTCAACGTGCATTGATGATAAATCCATTTATCATAAGACTCTCTCCTAACTGACTGACTGAATGAATGAGTGACTGACTCTGCTCTGCGTCTTTGCCTCTCGGACCCTGTTGACTGAGAGACAAACTATCGAAGCTAACAACTGAACCACCAGCGGATCGGTCCAGAGCTTGCGGTGGCTAACAAGAGGCGTCGATCCGTTTGCGGGCTGGTCGCCCAAAAGAGGAAGCCTCCAAAGAAGAAGAGAGAGCAAGCTAGCGATCTACGATCCGACAACGCGGACCCATTCGTTGCCATGTCATGTCATGTCATTGTACTCTGAGTTGAGTCAAGAGCCAACGTCTTTTTCATTCTCCTCCCCTTCTGGCTCTTTTCTCCGATTAAAGGAAATGCTCCCGTTCAAACTCTGTTCCTTTGAGGCGTTGAAAGGTTACGTGGTCTTGGGAAATGATGACGACAAGAGGTTGAGGTCGGTTTTATGCAGATTGATGCAAACACTTTGGGAGAAGTTAATCAAGGAGGATCGACAAGGATAGGCCGCCCTGCCACTAACGAGAAACGAGAGGGAAAAAAACCACATGCAAGAGTGTGGTGGAGTTGCAATTGACAATTCATCTGAAACATCGAGGTTGCATTAGAGACCCTTGTTTTTAATTCTGTTCAATTCAAATAAATTAAACAGTGACACTCTCACTAATTACCTTCCTTGCCTAGGTACCCCAAATCTTGATGATTATATATCATCAAATCGAACTACCATTTTTGACATTCCGCTTCGTCCAAGATAAACTTAAACAACAGAGATTACGTGACCTCTGGCCAAAAGGTTCAAGCCACATGATCGACAGGCCAAGGTACATCCCTGCGTCAATCATCCATCTCAACATGGTAGACTAATGACGATGCAGAGAGAACCGAGGTATGCCATTCCCATCACCATCTTTCCCTTTCTCATCGTCATTCCAAATTCCTCACGAATGCAAATGCTGTCAGTCCCGTTCAACCAAGAATAATACGCCGAACCGCGTCGGCCCGTTGGACAGATTGGGTTGAATACGATGGAATTAGTGCCACACCGTCATGTCTGGCCCTGCTGGCCCTCTCCAAGCTTGATCCCTGTAGAGCGTCGAGCGTCAAACCCGGCGATTTGGTCTTGTTCTGTGCAAGGCTGTGTTTTTTGCTTTTTTCCCCTCCAATGTCGATTGACGTCTGCACGTAGAACCCAGGGATGCTAGTCTTGAAGATTTGAATTAATTTCTTTTTATTGCTCACGCGACAAGGCGAATGTCATCTGGCAGCTGCAGTGGCACCTCGGATAATCTACCCCATTATCCAGGCGTGCTTGGTTGCATTCGCCAATCGAATATAGGACCCCATCTCCTGATTATTGGCTTGCTCGGACCTGGTGGTTTGTGCTTTTTGTCATTCATGCGTCTTGTTCCCCTCGCTGCACAGACTCTATGAGAATGTGTAAAGGGTCCCGGACACAGCACAGATTCAATTCCCATGCGCCGGTATCAGATATCGCTGCGGCTTTTTCTTATGGCGTTGGTCGTGTCTGTCAGTGTATCAAAGCGTTGAAACTGCTGGTTAGTACAGACTAGGCAGTTCTGGTACAAGCACCTGCATATCGTTGACCCTCACGACTCGTCTGCAGACACAGCTGAAGAGAATTTTAGCTGCATGAGTCGCAAATGGTCTGATACCGGAAAATCTTTACGAAGGATCAGTCTCTTCCTGCGGGGGAAGGTCTGAAGCTGTCTTCGCATGCTGAAACGCGCCGGCGACTGATTCCGGGAGCGCTAGAAGTTAGAAGTTAGAACATTGGAGTTGGCCGAACCAAGAGATGTCGGTTCGGAAGCGAAGCTAGACTTTTAAGAGACTCATGGTTAAGTAATGCATATCAAAGTCTTTGATTGGAAGAGGCATGCGACAACTTCCGATATACGAGCCAATACCCAAGGACTACAGTTATGTGTTGTAGAAAAATTGGACGTCAATTCAAGACATGAACAACTATTTTCATTGTCGTAGTTGCTGTCAGGATTCTAACAAGGAGTTAATATCCATTCCTGATACCGTTTCGATATGACGCTCGGTGGTTTTGTGATATCCAGGGTAGGTAGACTGAGAACACTCAGTACCTACTTAGCGAGTATGAGAACCATCGATGATCAAATCAACCATATTCTCATCTCGCCCTTATATAGGCCCGCGTAATCTGCCCTGGCTCCAACAAATACGGTCACTAAGGCTTGACGAGATAGAACATCATATACCCACTTACTTCTGCCTCATCTAGCATGGCTAGCATGGTTATTCGTGACGTTGCTATCTACTAGGTTGCCATCCTTGGCTCTGGGAGAGAGTGCGAACAAACAAGTGTTTCGTTGGCGTTCAATTTGAACTCAACAAGGTTGATTGGAACAAGTGGAAAAGTACCCCAGTTGTTTGGTCGTCCATTTAATTAGCTAACGGTAATGTTCAGATAGCGTTGGCATGGTGTATACGGGAGGCCGCATCTGTTTGCTAAGGATCATCATCTTTCGTGACACAAACACTAACTCGTTGTGGTCTCCATGATTTTCTGGGACATAAAGTGTCCCATATCTCTCCATTGATCTTGTAGCCGTAGTGATAGTGATATTGGATCTCCTTATATGAAGTATAACTTCTTCGCGTTTAACAGTATCTCAGCAGGAAAAATCTCTTATAACTTAGCACGTCATGTTTTGTTAAGACATGTTTCTGGCCGTTATTGACCGCTTCATTTGAATTAACGAGTTTCTATCACTTCTCATATTCTATAACTCATGTAGAGCTCAGACTGTCTTATCTGTATCATCAACTCAACTAGATCTGCAGCTCGCCTACATGTACAAAGAATAAGAGCGCCACAGGATGGAACTATTGACCTCAACTCTGAAGATTGCGGTCTTATTCGCATAGTCTGTAGATTTACCTGCATATCTAGGTGCAGAAAAGTGTCGGTCAACCCGTAGCATTGAAACAGGTTAGATGACATGCTGTGAGTTGTAAAAGGTCAGTGTATAAACCATGGAAGCCCTCTTGAGTTCCTAAACTATCTGAAGACTCTCCCCCTTCATTTACTGTTAAGATCAAAGTTCAGAGTCTATCACATCCTATTCCAATCTACAGTCATGTCATCTTACAATCCAGTCAAGGATCTGGGCCTAACCTGTCCCTATGGCGGAATCTTCTACATATGCGCCGACGATCCGGAGCGCTTCATCGGCTGCTGCACCATCAACCCTTGCGGCGCCAGAAAAGGTCTCTGTCCTGATCAAAGCCTCAGATCAGCCAGCTTTAACGCGACACTTCAGCATGAGTTCCTCCCTCAGGCTTGTATCAACGACAACGTCGATGTCAGTTGGTACACCTGCGTTGGAGAGGGACTTCCTTTCCTGGGATGTTGTGCCGTAGATCCTTGTCTCCGTGGTGTTTGTCCTCAAAGAGACCTGAGAGCAGCGAAGTTGAGTGACAAGGCCAAGAATGCGCAGGACTTCCTTGATGGTGGCCCTGAGTATATGCCACGGTCTACGTCTTCTGCCCTTGACCCAAGATCAGGCGTCTCTTCAAGCAGTCTGTGTGCTAGCTCGACCACTGCAATGATGACCATGATCTCCAGCTTCATCACTTCTTTCGCTATAGAAACAACCATTGCGACAATCACCTCTACGGATACAACAATGACCTCTGCCATGACAATCTTGCCCCCAGAGGCTCCAGATGCACCCCCTACGGAACCCAAAGAGCAAAGCCCGAACCGAAAATTTGGCTGGTTTTGGGTGCTTATTCTCGTCGCAATTCTTCTACTTCTATACCTTGGGCACCGATTCGGGGAGAAACCATCCTGTCTAAGATGCAGAGAAAAACCACCCAAAGGAAAACTGGGACAGAGACGTGAACAGAGGCATGAACAAGAACAACGACACGAGCAACAGCAACAGCAGGAACAGGAACACAATGCGAACACACCTACATGCATAGAGATCAATCAGAGGCCCTCAACTGGATACGTCCGGAACATGGGGGAACGTTCAGGCATGCACATTTCCCGGAGCACCCACGAACAACCCCAGAACATACAAGGTCAACGACATGGGAGTGGTTCTTCTATTAAAGATGAATTCTCCCGTGAAAGCTCCCGTGACAACAAAGAAAATCGATCCCTCGACCTGCAGAGTAGATCGGTCAGCAAGGCGTATACGCCAGTGTCCGGCGAACAGTTCCAAGCAGGAAGCCGTTGCCAGGAACGAACAACCACACAAGCTCGCGTGGAGATAACTTCCGCTGAGGACCCCCTTTGAAATGTATATATAAGTTCTTTTCATTTTTAGATCTTCATTTCTCAAGCATCACCATCTCATGAAAGTCATCATCCCCTAAAGACCACCATTTCCCAAGCTCGCCGTCAAGAACCACCATTTGCTCAAAGCCATCATCGTCCAAAGATCACTATGAGTACACCACTATGTGAGCTCGAAGGGAGTGCGCCAGTAAGTGATAGCTTCGCAGCATTAGTATCGTCAGGGGCTCAATTTCCTATGGCCAGGCAGTGGATGACTCAGGCACAGCAGGACCAACAACAACAACTTGCTTCTGAAGTCTCAGCAACGTATGAGCCAACAACCACCATATGGATCCGGAACTTCAACCAGCTCTGCGATACACCACCTGCTGAGGAGAGCCGTCTGCCTTTCTTCTCGCGTGACCACTACAAGCATGAGCGAGTGGTGCCGGACTCAAAGTCTCGAAGGTTCGCGGAGTCTATGAGACGCTACCGAAGACACTGGAGAGGTAAGAGAGCTAATGCTAGAATTGTGGCCATTTCTAACGCTCGAAAACCACTTGCAGAACTGGCGCCCTCTGCTCAAAATTGGCGATCTTCAGGAGATAGTTGGCCACCCCCATTGCCGAAACGTACTCGGAACAAACTCCGGAAGCGTCAAAGGCCTGATGGATATTAAGGGTGGTAAAGAAGGGATTTGAAACCGCAATTGCGCCTTTGAGGGCGCTGTGGTGGGAATTCTTTGACTTCATTTGTGGTGGATTTGCATGTTGCCAGTGGAGGTTGACATTTGTTTGGATGGACACAGAGCTGGGGAAACGGAAGAATGAACAGGGTCGGCGATATTGTGAACATTGGTTAAAACACGAAAATAGAACAAAAAAGGTTGAGCAACTTGACGCTGATGAAAGACCATCAGCCCCTCCCCATTTTCCATCTTCCTTCTTCTGCCCAACTTGAACATGCCATGGTAAACTCATCTTGATACATCCAACAACATCCAACATAAACTTACCCGATGCAGCGGTTTGTTGGTTTGCATATCCATTTTCGAGTCAAGACGTAGAATGCTCTTCGATCGATGTGAATGACTGATCTCGATCTGCCATACATATATATAGCCTTGCTATGGAACTCGAAAGCTGTTTACGAACAGCCCTATGAGATATCTCGGATGACACTCTCCCCACGTGGATACCCGTCAAGATATTGGACTCTTAAATCCGAGGCAACGATAATAGAAGGATGTGACCTAGAGATATCTCCGCATCGCAAACAGCTTGTCTTGAAAACAGTAGCCATGTCACTGTGCATGGATCATGCGTGCCAGACAAGGCCATGTCCACAAAGAGACTAGGGAATCAAATCTTTATATGAGAACAGAGATCCACTCCCAAGAAGTGTCTGGAGATTCTAGACTTTCGACTAGTTGGTGTTCAAGAGCTGTTCGGGCACGCAGTCGAGCTACTACCACACTGCTTAAGGACTTAGCAGCCAGCTCATTCCTATGTCAGAACGAACACTATCCCGATTCATGGGAAAATCCGATGATCGAATCGAAGTTATCATCGGCCCTTTCAGAAACTCGGATCGATCTTTGCTTGTTCAGCGTTGGTCCGATAACCGTATACCACAGCTAAACAGGTTCGAAGAAAGTCAAAGGAGAATGGCTCAGGTCAGGGTATTACGACCGCCAAACCATCATGTAATTTAATAATCACAGATTTCCGAATTTTAGTCATTCTCATTGATCTTGTAAGGGAAATAATGCGTCGCTGTATTCCGCAGTGAGAAGCATATTGATCGACAAACTTTGCCTAAGCGAAGCCTTCACAGAACGTGAGCGGAGATTATCAAACTCCGAATAGTAGCGAGCAGCAGCAGAGTTTTCACCGTAGAATAATAGAAAGGTCAGTACGGAATAGAACCTTTGTTGTTAAGGTTGAACCGAAAGCCTTCGCCGTGAAGCCAAGACGACGACTGGAATGCAATACGTTTGGTCTGGTGTTGATCCAAAAGAACTTTCACGGGCAGGCTGAGAACAAAGTCGGATCATGGTTACGCAACTATGAGCAGGTAAACAAGGCGCCTCGAATTCTCGATGAATGGTGATTCGTAAATCAGCTGTTCAGGGCGAATGTGACGAATGATAATAGGTATCGTCAGTGAGAGCTTTCTCGGCTTCAGCAGTACCTGTGGCTTGAACAAACGCAAACCTAAGAAAGAAGGGGACGGCGTCACGGATCCAGCACCAGCCCTCGTGGCAAACGTGAACTAGGCGAATTTACAATACCTTTCGGTCCTTCTTGGTGACCGAGATGCCCGACATGAATAAGGGAATCGTAGTAAAAGGCTTTCCAAATGTTTGTCAGGAACCGGGCACTCATCTTGACAAGTGCCCTAGTGTCCTAGCTGGGCAACCCTGAATCATGTCCAGGAACAGATGTGTTGGTCCCTGGCCTAGAAACGGCCAAGTCCCGGCTGTTGGCTAACTAACTTAGTCGTTTGCAGGCACCGTTTGTCAGCCATAATCTTTTAGACAAAGACGGATACAGAAAACAGTGCCTAGGAGAAATGCGGGAGATGCACCGAGGGGAAGATTGCGGTGAGAGACTCAATTCATGTTTGTTGATGCTCGTTGCACCAACACCAACACCAACACCCAATATCTCGGCACGAGCCTTGATCCTGTTGATGGTGTGAGATCTCCATGGCCAAGACCCGGGAGCGATCATGCGGAGGTAGCAATAGCTAGTAAATCGGGTGTGTGGGCCTCGGGGAGCAGGAAAACATCAGATCTTGATACAGGGTGTAAAAATAACCTCGACAAAGATATCATGAACTTATGCTAAGCTAGTCTAAGTTTTTTTATCATCCAGGATCGAGGTCCCGAAATTTCTTTCTCCCCTAGTGACATAGTTTCCAGGGGTTGAGCTGAGTTGAACAGGGATAAAGGGAACAATGAGGGTGACCTCTAACTTATCGCCAAGAATGTTTATGCTTCGACTATTCGTTTGGCTTTCTTGTTCGCCATGACCAGTAAGCTGAACGTCAATTCAATGCGGAACATTAACATCTCAGTCCGCTGAGTATCCAGGAACGACAAACAGACTTGGGCTTGCCTGATCCCGCTGCCACCGCCATCAAAGGCCAAAGGTGACATGCATGCTGATTCACATTTGCCAGACCCTCGATTCGGGTCTCGACACCCTTACTCTCAAGCTGAACGCCGCAAGTGCGGATCGGGAGGGCAGGCCGCCCTTCTTGATTGGCCGCTATAGAGATCGTCTCTCTCGCGGCTCAAAAGCCTGACAGGATTGCCTGTTGGTCTCGCCCAGTCGCATTGCGAGATCTGGTTTAGCCCCAGACACGGATGGCGGCGCCTTGACGGGCGTGGCACACGGAGGTGGTCGTCAAATGGTATCGCTTTCTGGTCTCCCTTACGTAGCGTGCAGCTAATAAGCGACAGGGTTTTTAAGCCCAGCTGTCACTTTGCATTGAGCTCACAATGGGAGAGCGTTTACTTGCGGTGTGGGCGATGAAAATATCGTCGACTGGGTATAGTGAGTTATAGTGTTGTATCCGCTTCGGTCCAGACGATACAGGTACCAGCAAGGCTATTGTTATACTCGTGCCTTACTCGGTGTAATGCCGTGATCGATCATGTTTTCCTGCTCTTCTTCGCGCGATCTCAGTCAGTGCAATCGTTGGCCCCGAACTCTGAGCGCGTGGAATGAATATAATCTCGTCCCGGAAACGCACATTCGTCCACTGACATTACTGTACTGATCCCGTGTCTCTGAATTTATCCCACTTTGCTTTTGCCATCCCTCGACAATTTTAAGTGAATTTACCGTGAGTCGTTGCTCAGCAAGTGTCGGAGAAGCAGCCATAAAATTCGAGTCGGATTGGTCGAGTCAGTCCTTTCATGGTTGTTAGTGGAGAGTTTGGCGACGCCCTCTCAAACTCAAGGTCTCTCGGTTGTTGGAGTAGTTGGCTCAACTTGGCTGCGCCTTTCCGCCTCCGGTCATCACTGCATTGCAAATCCCTCCCCCAAGCCAAAATAGGGCAATAAGATTTCTCCATCTGGTAAATGCAGCACTTACACATCCACCTCGGGAATATCGTCATCAGTTTTGGATTTCACAACCACGTACGGAGTAAGGGATACTAATTATCCTGCCCGGCCAAGTTACCTATGCAGGGCAGTCGTTTCATGACCGATCATATACAAGTCTCGTAAAGAAAACCACAAAAGTTTCCCCCCATTCCGGGCTCGACCCTAATCCCGAGGCTCGGTTGGTCATCAATTCATTCATACATACATACCTCAGCGACAGGAACGGAGATCAAAGTCAAATTCTTGTGGGCTTGAGACCAAAGACGGGATCCTACCTGAGAGAATTTGCCTACGGGTCTCCCACGCGGCAAACATCTCGGTCATCATTACACGGCACACGCCTCTTCGTTCTTATTGCCCTTTGGGGGTTTCCAGAGTTTCGGGTGACCGCTTTGGCTTTGCTTGGCTTTGAAGAGCATTTTGGTTCATAAGAAGCTAAACCCTCGATTCCTCCCTCCCTGTCGCAGGGGTCGACTTCCCTGGACTCCAACCACAGAAGTTGAACTATCTCGCGATGCGACTGTCACCAGTGTCACCAGTCGATTCCAGTTGGTCATCACAGCTCGCGTCTTGATATACTCGATACTAAGACATCGACAGTCTAACGACAAGCAACGATCCGCATCTCTGACACATACCTACCGACTTGAAGGGATCGTCGATTACGATCTAATCCACTCCCCGCCATCATCATCTCCACCATGCCTCCCTGGCTTCAAGAAGGCAATGCCCTGGGCTTTTCGCCATGGACAGATCCAGATTCAACGACGGCTCTCAGCCTCGAGCCACGTCGAGTGAAGCAGTTCACCATGGCTGCTCTGACTCCCCATCAGACATATGTTATTCATGTTGCGACTCTCACCGTCGCATCCATGAGTATACTTGCAACAATAATCACCTCCTTCTGGTTCTTTCGAATGAGGCGGAGTTTCCGCCATGAGTGAGTCTTGAGTCGCGCGTCTCTTCCCTTCGCCCTCGGTTGCTGACCCTTGAAAAGCCTCATCATGTTACTCATTTACAGTGATATGTTCAAGAGTTTCTGGTTACTCATCTTTCCCGCTGTGGAACTTGTCGCTGGCAAGATTGAAACGACCGAGACCTTTTGTCAAGTCAGCGGGTTCTTCCTTGCTCTCAGCATAGAAGCTTCTGACGTTTCGGTCGCCCTCATCTCAGTACATACTGCATTGTACATCTTTCGTGGAGAGCAAGGCCTCTACCCATATCGAAAGGCGGCCTACGCTCTCGCCGCCATCGTACCTGTTGTGATGGCCTCATTAGCATTTATCGAAAGCCCCGGCTATATTAACACTGGCCAGTTTTGCTATCTACCGTTCAATCCGATGTGGAAGAGACTGGCGCTTTCTTGGATTCCTCGCTATATGGCTTTCACCGTTATTCTCTGCCTATGTATAGGCGTATACGTTTACGTTCGGGTGTTGATGAGACGATTCGGCTCCGGGAATGACAGTTCGAAGAATACTCTTTCAAAAATGTCGGGTCTTGAGAGTCTCGAGCCCTTGCAACAAGGAATCACCACTGTACCGCCGACTCCTACGATAAAATCCCATGGTCTAATCCCTTCTTCCAACGCTTCACGGCGCAATTCCTTTACCGTATCCGAAGATCGGACAACAAGGCCTCCACTCGTGGCCTTCAACTCTTTCCATTTGGATATGCCTGGGTCGACGACGCATCCCAGTAGACTTCATTCGGCACGACTGGCGCGAAGAGGATCGACTCAGATGTGGATGGCTAACTATGGTACTGATCTGACATCTCAGTCTGAACAGGCTGAAGTTGATTCCCAGAATTCGACGGGGACTACTCGCTGTGGTTCGGACGAGGTGATCGCCCCTTCAGCCATTCATACCAACCCCGAGCCCGTCCACCAAACGCCTCTTCCTGATGTTGTCTCACCATCATATACTATACAGACCGACTTCTTTCATCGATCTGATGGGTCAAGCGCGCTGTCTAGACCGCCATCTATACCCAACCTTTTCGCCATACTCCGCCGCACACCAGACAGTCCACACAGCAACGACACCAACCTTGTCTTGACTCAGAGCGCATTCAACGCACCCGGTACTGTCAAGTCACGTGAGAAGATCTTGCGACAACTCCGGTTACTATTCATTTATCCGATAGTCTACGTTGTCATCTGGATTCTGCCCTTCATCGTACAACTTACTGGATATGGACGAGGAGCTCCCTATGGCATGAGACTAGCCAGTATTATATTTTTGTGCTTCCACGGCTTGGCTGACGCCGTGGTATTTTCTCTGAAGGAGAAGCCTTGGAGGCATAGCCAGGCTTTCAAACGCATCAACGTTCAATTTTGGAAAAGACGACAAGAAGTGCCCGATGTAGGTGCAAGAGTCGGGCGCACGAGAGAGGAGATGACACTCGACTCTCGATTCGCGAAAAAGAGACGACAACAGGAGCAAGCTGAATGGGAAATGGATCGTCAGGCTGGCCATGAGGCCCGCAAAGCAGCGAGGGCAGCCCCCCAGTGGTGGGATGCCGATGAGTAATGAGGAACCTATATGGTATTGGATGTAAATAAGAGCAGCATGGCAAAAGGGCGAGAGCTTGGAAAGCGCGTGGACGATGATACCCAGGATTTCATAGGTATAGATCATGACGGGGCATCATGAACTTGCATTAGATGGCGTTGCGCATTTGGGATGCATTGGGTGGTTATTTGGCGTATAAGTCGAACATGTTTTAGATTAGACGGAGTAACTCCTAGATACCTAGTACCATGGCGGACACCTGTTATAACCTCGGGCTTGTACGAGTTCTAAAAGACATGGGATCATCATATGTGTTTCTGTTGCGGAGTGACTTCCAGGTAGATTATTAACCTCCATGCCCATATTATGGCCCAATAATCTGTCTCCAGGACCATCGTGTCTTGCAAATATCTACTCCGTGACCAGGAATTCAGACCCCATGATACTGGCTTTAATACTTGAACCTCACATAAAATACTGTAGCCAAAAGCAACAATTCGTCAAATGGTGTATTATCAATCTGTTGTCGAGTACTATCTGGGGGTTATTGGGGAATATGACCTATCTGCTCAATTTGCATCATGAATCCTTCGTGCAGTATCTCCGTTTCTCAGTCCCAAGGGCGTCATCCTTAAATCGCAAGCAATCTTCTTTGCCAAAATCATCTCCCGGAACGCCACCCACTTTCAGTTTCCCTTCAGGCGAAATCACTGCTTGGCCTGTTTGGCACGAGTCTCCATCTCCATCTCGGCGACCAGCGTCTGTTTGTCCTTTGCGGAGAAGAGCATTTGAAGCTGGAGATAGTTGGAGAAGTTTGGCTGCATCGCCTCATCCTGCAGTGCGGTGCTGAGAATCTCTTCCTTGGCGTCTTGCAGCATGATGATGCGTTCATCAATGGTATCCTTCGCCAAGATGCGGATAAGATGGGTCTGTTTCTCCTGGCCAGTTCTGTAGACCCTTTTGTAAGCCTGTTCCTCAACAGGTTTGTTCCACCACTCGTCAACGATGATTACACGGTTGGCCATCTGAAGATTCAAGGACTGTCCACCGCACTTCATTGACGACACCTACATGGCTGTTAGATCTTTGTTGGGATTGCGATAGAGTGTAAGAACTTACCAGAATCTTGATCTCGGGATTGTTTGTGAACTCATCTAAAGCTCTGGCCTTCTGCTTTTCATTTGCCATCCGGTTGTAATAGAGAAACTTGGTCCCCATACTTTCAAGAACACAGCCAAGAGACTTTGCAGTTCTAGTACACTGGATATAAACTAGACTCCGGGTCAGCAGCCGAGAACCTTACCCAGGAAACTGCAAGAAAACTTACTGATGATCTTGTCGCCGGGGGCCTCTTTCATCCAAGTTAGCATCACTGCCAAAGTGGCCTTCACTTTGGAGCTCAGAGGCATCTTCATGGGACCATAGTCGATATCCTCACGACCGCAAACAGCACGAAAGAACGAAGCCTGCTCTTTTGGGCCACCAGTCCACCGTGTGCCGATGCTGTCACGCCCAGGCTCCTTGTAAGTTTTTATAGCTTTTACGGCTGCGTCGATGCACTGCGGAGTCTTTACGGCTTGGCCCATTCCAAGTTTTGGAGTGCATCCCGGAACACGACACTGGCGAGGCTGTGAATATAATTAGTAAGAGTCATGAGAAACACCACCATAACGTGAGTGCTGCATACCGCAAGAGGTTTACCAGTTTTTCCTCGATTGTCGACTGCAATGCAGAGGCAATCATGGCAGTAGATATGTTCGCACTAGTAATATTAGCAACGCTATGCATGGCATACATAATCACTTACATTCGAGCTCTGAACGGGGTTCTTAGGTGGTGTTTTCTTGTGACAAAAGGCGCAAGTGATATTCTTGACCTTATTCTCGTTGGCCACAAGTGTGAGTAGCTGTATCATCTCCTTGCTACCCCCAAAGTTGTCTTTCATCGCCAACTCCAATTGTCGTAGTCCTAAAGAGTAGGTTGGCTTGAGAGACATTTCCAATGCCTTCTGATCCGCCTCGACGCTCGACTGGGTGATTTCAGATTTCAGCCGCTCGAGGGCCTGGTCAATGTATACTCCATGGTATTCCTCTCTGTAGAACCTCTCAAGGTTGAGAGGGTGAGATGTGAGTTGCACGATCCTCGTGCATCTCTGGATCTGAATTCTATACGCGGTTGGAGCCTTGGAACCGTTGTTACCGTCACCTTCGAGCTCGGCCTCACTCTCGTCGTCGGGCACATCTTCACTCTGTTGCAGGCCCTGCTGCTGTTCGTGTGCTGCAGCCTCTCGGTTTGCATCTTGGGCGTTGAGAAGTTTTTCCTGGTATGCACCATCCACAACCCTCCAAGGATATCAGTATAAGAGCGCGAAGCCATAGTTTTACAAAGGCATGCACTTACTCTAAGAGGATCTTTTCCCAGCTCGAAAAGGGGATCCAAATATCACTACGACGGCTTTTTGGCAGGGGAACCATGGTGTGTCCCAGGAACTTCTCAGTCTGCTGTCGTCTCATCATGACTAGGCCCACCAGTTGGTCGAAATTCGCAGTTGCCTCGTCGTCCCTGATGTACTGAGCTCTGTAATCTCCCATTGTAGTTGCAAAATCGCAACCAATGAACTTCAAATAGGGGTAGAACTCTAGTTACGTCAGAACAAGACATACTGTAATTGTCAGAATACTCACCTTCCAGCTTGTTGGCAAGGGGTGTGCCAGTCAAAGCCCAACGATACTTGGCATTCAGTCGCCAGACTGCAAGAGCACCTATTCCGTGTGAGCATGCAGATTACAAGGCAATAGAATATGAGGAACTGACCACTTGAGCTGTGATTCTTGATACCATGAGCCTCGTCCAGAACGATTCGATACCAGTTGACCTTGAACAGTTGACCTAGCTGCTCGGAAAGGGCTTGCTGAAACCCACTCTCGTCCCCCGCCCACTGAGCCCTCAGCTTTTGGTATTCCTTCTTGCTGGGAAACTGTGCACGTAGTGCATTTAAATGGGTGACTCTTCGGTTTGTTAGTATTTATCCTTCAGCAAGCGACGGTTGAGCCAGAAACTTACACCACTTTCTTCGTGCTCCACCACTTTGCCTGCTTCTTGAGATCCTTGGAATAGATCAGGCACTTATCGGCAAACTTTTCTGAGGTATGGTTGTTGATTTGATCCATCCAGGTCCTTGAGGCAGAATGAGGGCTGTCAGCAATCACCAAAGTTGCATTGCCATAACCATCATCTCTATCTTCTCGCTCTGCTGGATGACCGATGATTGTCGCTAGAGCCGTGATTGTCTTTCCAAGGCCCATCTCGTCAGCCAGGATACCTCCCGCCGGACCAGATTCCACGGCTTCTCGCATGACCATCCAGGTAGCACCCACGAGCTGTTGGCTGTGCAAGGGGGTTTCCATGCCTTTGAGCTTCCATTTCCCGTCAATTGCCTTGATCTTCTTGTACCCGAAGCATTTCTTAGCTTTGATTAGATCCTTCTGTTGTGTCTTCGTGTGTCGGGTGTCGTTACCCTCTGGAATGCCAGCCATGATCTGCCTTATCTGAGCTTCATGGGTTGTGGCCTTGATACTTTTCGCCGGTTTACTGTTGCTTTCGTCGTTGATTTCGTCTGCTCGACTCGAGGTGAATAAAGCTGCTGCTCTCGAGAAACCAGGATGTTCAACTCCACCAAAAGGTCCAACTTGCATGGCTGTCTTTTGAAGTTTGTTCGAGGTTGTCTCATCGCCAGCACGTTTGCGCTTTCTCTCCTCCTTTTCCACTTGCCGCTCCATGTGCCGCTGCCAGTATTCTCGAGCAGTTTTTGGTGGAGATTGTCTTGCATATTTTGCAAGTGTGTTCTGTGCTTCAGGGATTTGTTTCGTGAGTTTTTCGAGTTTTTGACACTCCTTGAGACTTAACTTGTGTCCCATGTGCTGCTTGACGAGCAAATCGTTTCTTTCATTCTCGCATTCTTTAATGAGTTTTCTGATATCCGAGGCTTTGCAAACACCTTTAATTGGCTTGTGTTTCTTCTGTGGAGTTTCCGAATCGTCTGAGTCGTACGAATTGTCTGAATTGTCCGTATCGTGATAATCCGAGTCCTCGCCATGTGCAGAATCTGGACCATCCTCATCATCAGTGTCGTTCCCAGAAGAATCCAGATTAACATTGATTGTTCCACAGAAGTCTTCGACTGTAATGATCTTGTTGCTGTGAGGCTTCAGGCTTTTCATCATGAAACTCTTCTTATCCTCGTCGCTCTCGTCCTTGACGATAGTGAGGTTGTCCTTGAATGAAGCTTTCTGGGGCTTAGCAGACGGTCCCGAAATACTCTCGTCGCCATCGCCATCATCATCGATGTAGATGGCCTGATTCGGGATGTCCTTCGTTGTTACAGTCTTGTTTGAAGAGAGGAAAGTGCATTCATCACCAGAATCCTCTTCTTCCTTCTTAATAAGGCGTTGATTGACTGGAGTGGCCATGATGTAAGATAAAAGAATGGAAGATGAAAGGATAGAAGATGAAAGGGGAAGATAAAAGGTGAAGGGAAAGGGGAGTGAAGGAGTGAAGATGAAGGAAGAGAAGAGATGAAGGAAGGGGGAGATGAAGGAGGGTTTATATACCCGTGAGAGAAAGAGGCGTTGAATCACTGGCTCGAGTTGTGATGATGTCTTGTACTAGGCTTAGGCTCAGGTATTTGAAGGTTCCTGGAGTTGAGTAAAACAGGGGGCAATGAATCACTGCAATATCATGCGCATAGTACGAGAAGCTGCTTTCGGCTTTTGAGCTAGGATGAAACTACTCCTTTCCAGAGTGCGTACCCAGTAGGCATAATGAATACACAATTCAACATCAAGACACTCACGATAATCGGCACAGAAGGTGGTTCGAGTTATCTTTCATTGTATGGCCGCACGCATAGTACTTATTTAGCTACAGCCACCTCATAACCTCATGTCTAGTATTCACAGTTCAGACGTATCACCAGTTTCCATCTAGTTGACAGACATATCAGCATTCAAAGGGGATTTGTGTTTATGTTTGATCATTTTGAAACAATACTCTCAAGTCGTTTGATGTCGTTACTCTAGCAAAACAGATTTATGCATTACGCCATTTGGTATAATGTGCAATTCGAACGCTTAACTGCGATTCCTCCTTTTTCAAGTTCAGCTGCGCATAGGAAACTTCCATGTCGCATAAACTCTTCCATCCATCCATATTCCAGCAGTATTTCCCTTCTCTATCCCTCTCGATAAAACTTGAGGAAAGCCTTGGCGATAGCAACACCATCATGGGGAAGTGGCGCGCGTTTCATAGCTTCGTTATACACTTCATCCGTGAAGATGCCAACTGTATGACGGTTGAAGAGAATCTCAGAAATAATCTCGTTGGTGAACTCGGGGTGTCCCTGAACAGTGAGATATCGTCCTGGCGAGTAGAAGCCCTGCACTTCGCAGATCTCATTGGAACCGAGAGGAATTGAGCCCTTGGGGAACTCGTCCACAATGTCGCGATGCATTTGGTGAATGCGCTGTGTAACAGGGTCAGTGAAACAGTCGTACAATAATGCGCGCAACAAAACGGGTCTTACCATCTTGTCCAACCCGAAAATCTCCTTGCCCTTGTCCGTCAGATCAACTTCCGTGACTGCAACCTCCCAGCCCTTGTTACTGCGTCCACACTTGGCGCCCTCAGCTCGTCCAACGACCTGGTGGCCGAAACATACGCCTACAACTCGGATGCGATTCGTGTCAATGGCTTTCTTTGTGAATTCGACAAGCTTGATGATCCAGGGGTCGTTATCGAACGCTGTGTGTCGAGAGCCAGTGATGAGAACCGCATCGATGTCGTCAAGGGATGGATAAGAGTGTAGTTCGTTCACGACATCGTATCCCTTGATAGTAACCAGATCCTCAAGCTTCTGAGGCTTTGCAGCTTCTTGGAGGAGCGCAGTAAAGACGCCAGTGTAGCCGCCGAAGCGATCGCGAGTTTGGGGCTGCGGGGTGTCAGCTTCGAGGATAGCGAGGCGAAGAGGAGCCATTTTGGGCAGTGTTTGGATCCAATGTAAGCAGAGAATAGTTTACAGGGGCAAGAAGTTTTGAGCTGGAGATATGACTCTTGAGCGAAAAACGGCCAGGGCGCAGGCTGCAAGGCCCGGTCTGGAGATGGACCCTTCCTGCTCGTGTAACGGCGGGACCGATAGCGGGGTGGACATGAGGCGAGATAAGCGGGCAGAATTGGAGACAATGATGTTATACCTCCGAATAGGGAAGCGGTGAGAAGCCGGTAGTTGGAGGTAGAATGTACTTGGTAACGTTACAGGCGGTCTACGATGAGAGCCTGAGACTCACGAGAATAATATGGGAGCCCGGTGTAGATTCACATGGAAATGGTGACACCTCTTTTCACGCGAAATCTGCTGGTTTGTGGTTGTTTCCAAGTATAAGGCAGCATGCACGTCAGTATCTTGGCTTTTAATACTCTAATGATATGATGCAGGCATCTAATAAATTGTTGAATTCAAAAGATACATACCACACACCCTAGATTAGTACCTAAAGGTACTGAGTGCTCTCATGTCAAAGAGACTTGCTCAACAGAGTGAGATTTACTGGCCAGGAAAGTCTAGGCCTGTTGATTACAAGGGATAAACAACAAAGTTAATGTAGGGCTGATTGGCATCAGCAGGGCACCTTGCATATAAATGTCTCGCATAGAGTTACGTCGTGCAAGCCATTTCCGTCGCAATGACAAAATAATGCCTAAAGACTGGACGAATGCAGAGAAAAATGCATGTATACAACTAATGCTATAGCTTCCTCATCCCTCAGTAAGCACCAGCTACTGCAATGTCGTTTCGTTGACTCTGGCCCAACTGTAAGGATGGGGCGACCTTATCAAGTGACAGTTTCGTGGCTGATGGTCCCTGCAAAATTGTTCTGGGTGACGTCTTGACCGTTTTAGCTTCAACTTACAACTTACATAAAACACATGCAGGGACTCTTGTGAGGTTTGCTTTTTAAACTTTATAGGTGGCTTATTCTTATTTTTTATTCTTTTGCGCACTCTTGTTCCTTTTCTTTCTCCTCATTTTACATCAGACATGGCGATCTCGGTCAACATGGCTTCGAGGTTGTCTTTGGGCGGCTTTTTGGCCAAAGCGAGAGCTGCTTTGGCAGCTCCAGCGGCGCAACGAAAGGGACCTCTCACTTTTGTTGTAGGGAATGAATCAGCTGGTAAGTCAAGTACCACTTATATCTGAAGACGGTCTCAGCTAACAGAAACAGACCTTGATTCTCTCTGCTCAGCTCTGGTCTACGCTTATATGCGCACTCATACCCCTCCTCATACCCTACACATTCCCCTCTCAAACCTGCCCCGCGATGACCTCGCTCTTCGCACCGAGATGTCAGCAGTTCTTAAACACGCTGGACTCACTCTTAAAGATCTCCTAACTCTATCTGAACTTCCAGACCTCAAGCCTGAGGAAACACGCTGGTTGCTGGTTGACCATAACTCCCTCACAGGTCCACTTAAGAAGTTTTCGGACCATGTTACCGGGTGTGTTGATCACCACGCCGATGAGAACGTAATTGGCAAAGATGCAAAGCCAAGAGTCGTTGAACCTTGTGGAAGCTGTATGAGCTTGGTGGTGGATGAGACGAAGAAGACCTGGGAGGAAATTTCGCACCTGAATCCTGAGGATAGCGATGCGGCTACGGAGAACGACAAGCTTACTAGACTTGCGCTTGCTCCTATTATCTCCGACACGATAAACCTCACGGCCAAGGAAAAGGTTCGAGAGAAGGACTTGAAGGCGGTTGAATTCCTAGAGGGGCACATGCACAAACTCTTCAACCGCACAGCCTACTTTGACGAGATCTCCGCTGTAAAGGAGGATATTTCCGACTTGAGCTTCCGCGACATTCTGCGCAAAGACTACAAAGAATGGGATGGCTCAGGCCAAAAGCTTGGAATAAGCTGTGTGGTACAAGACTTCGGCTACCTCGTCGACAAAGCCGGTGCTCCAGAGCCGCTGATCGATGCCTTTGAGGACTGGGCGAAGGAGCGCGAACTCGACGTGGCAAGCATAATGACCACGTCCCATCCCGACGGGGAGTTTCAACGCCATCTACTTGTCTGGGGTGTAACCGATCAAGGTCGTGAGGCGGTGGATAGGTTCGTGCAAGCTGGTGATAAGTTAAGGTTGGAGACGTGGAAGGAGGGAGAGCTAGATCATCATGGGCACAAGAGGTTTGCCTGGAGGCAGAAGGAACTTGCTGCTAGTAGAAAGCAGGTTGCGCCTTTGTTGAGGGAGGCTCTTAAGAAGAGTTGACTGCAAGGGCTACAGAATTCCAAGATATAACTGCGCTGGGTAAAGGGAGAGCGACACGCCACTGAAAGAGGACATATCATTGCACGTCATGAGGTTCTACTTGAGACCGACCGAGAAATCATGTTCCTAGATGCATTGCAATATTGTTACATATGATTTGTTATACACAAGACCTGAACCCATACTATGCTTTTCCAATGCTTATTCGTGAAACTATTTTTCCTCAGTGAAATTCAGTTCCTCAGACGCATTCATGCCCTGATAAATTCTCTGCCTGGCAAAGTACGCAGAAGTCTCAGTATGCAGAGCCTCAACCTCCCTTAACATCCTGAGATACTGTCTGTTCGCCAACCTCTGCCTGCCATAATGTGACCGTACTGGAATGTCACCAGGACTTGCTTCCAGGAGTTTTGCAGCCGCTGGATCAGCGACCCTGATGCACGCCTTGAGCGAACTGTACAGTGGGCCAAACATGGGTAAGGGCTGAGGCTCGTTGATCATCTCATCATACACCCAATGTAGATTATCGATGCAAAAGACCTGGTTGTTGGTACGTGCCATCTCCTCGTAGACAGTTTTGTAGACATCTGAGCTCCTGTTTTTCTTGAAGAGAGATGGTCTGCGGAATGTGTCCCAGAATTGGGGCCAGTTCCCTCGTTTCGCGTAGGCAGACAGCAACCTGCTCGTTTGAGCGTTGTTGAATCCGCAGTCTTTCTGCACCATGAGCGTTTCGAGGTTCTTCTGAGCACGCGCAAGCCGAGGTTGTCCAAATGACGGCGATAACAGACCTCCCTCGATAAGCGTGAAGAACATTTTGTCGGTCCAGATGATCATGCCTCGCTCCTCGGCCGTTAGAAGGATCTGATCGACAAGAGTGAGCCGTGGTCCGGAAGCAGGCTCAGCTGCAGGCGCTATCATAGCATCGCGGACGAAATGATAGATTTGGTCCTGATCAAGGGGCAACCCGACCAGCTGGATGTGCTCAAAGCGCTTACGGACCTGTTCCAGATCCGGGGTCGTTTGCGCTGAGTGGTCTTGGAGGCCAACAAGTTCGTCTGGTACGGCGGGAGAAGTCTGAGTCTTATGTGAAGGCTCTGGTGAAAGCCGCCGAGCACTCGTGGTGTAGGCACGTCGTTGTTGTTG